ACCCGTCCCAAGGAATCTACTCAGATTAACAGGATGCTTGACAAAAACCTAAGAAAACTCTTATCCTCTATTAAATTCTGTAAGGCTTTGCCTAAGGAAGCTTAAAGGCATCTTTTCCCCAAGCTGTCTCAAATACACACATGACTATAAACAAGCAGTGCAAGCTTGCTTGCTCTTTGAAAGGCAGCAGCTGTGTTGTTCCTAAAATCCCTCCTGAATGTAAACATATTAGCACTGTATAAACAGCTTGATTTAATAAGAAATGCAATACAATATTCCTGCTTTGTCTTTGGGATCACAATGTTGATGGCGGCAATAATTCAGAGGTGAATTATGGTATCCGCTGAAAGAAAGAGAAAACTCTCCAGCTATAGTTGTGAATTAATTTTTTCCTCTCAGCTGAAAATGAGAAATGGCTATAATTTAGTTCCCATTTAAAAGTTGCTGTTGGCTAAACTCTAAAATCTTAATTGCTTCTTAATATTCTCTGCTTATTTTCCCCCTTTGAAACCACAGTCTATAGTATTGTACCGTTTAGATTAAAAACTAGAATAGAAAACAAAGTGGAAGGTCACCAGTCACTCTTAAAATAGTTATTCTTCTAAAATGGCAGAACTTAAGGCACGTCTAAGTATTTCAGTCAGTTTCCAAACTCTTCTCACCCTCCTGCACCTCTGTGAAAAAAAAAAGTGGTGCTGACCCTGTTTTTTCTTTACAGTCTCAATAGTCAGGACTTGTTTAATCTGCAGCAGAGCACAGTGAAAGTGCTAGAAAAGACCTGTTTCAAGCCACAATATGGCACAGCATGCTATAGGAACTCATCTTGTTGCAAAAAGACTCAAGTCATACTCAATCTCTAAATAGTCTGGAGGTCACTACCCAAACACGTTCTGCAATCCTCAAAGCTTGTAGAAAAGGCTGCAAGAATAACAGTGGCAAAGTCTGCAGACAATACATGTCAAATCTTCAACTGACCTTGAGGAACTGCAGAAGGATCTCATGATACTGAGAGTCTGGGTGATAAAATCATAGGTGCAAAACAAATGCCCAGAAATGCCAAAATACTGTGCTTGGGAAACTGCAGCTTACAATACACGCACTCTAAGAGACTCTAGATAAGCTGTAGCGCTCCAGGAAAGGATCTTAAAATCACAGTGAACAGCTCTCCGAAATACTCTGTGGTTGCCCCAGACTCGCACAATTTCAGTAACTACTATGAAAGGAATGAAAGCTGAAGAAGATAAAACCATTATGCCACTGCAGAAATTCACGGTGGATCTACATGTTAAGTAATCAGTGAGGATCTAGTTCCTCATGTTTGCTAGGGCTTAAATTCTCTCCTTGGACTCAACGCTAGAAGATAAATCAATTCCAGGCACTGGAACGTGTGGGAGCACCAGCCCCTTCGTCATGCCCGTGCCTGCGACCGCTCCAGGACTACCCAGGCCTGTTTTTTCTCAAGTGGTATCAAAGACAGCCAGCAGCAGACCGTTAAACCACAGACATCGCCTTCCTTCCTGCCTGAGGGCCAGCGTTCACAACCAGCGCCAGCGCGCTTCACGGCTGCTGGTCACCCTGCGGGCGTTTGATGGTGCTCTCTCCTCGGCATCCTGGCATAACAGGCGGTGCAATTTTTGTAGCCTCATTATGCTGACCTAGTTTATTCTCCACTCTACCAACTTAAAATCACATAGCTCTCTTTGCACAGCAGTGTCCTTAAAGCTAAAGGCATAATGAATTCATGAAACTTTAGTAGAAAGGTAATTCAGAGGTGCTGCTTGCCTACAAGTTCCCATCCCTTTTCATTACTGAGACGGCTGCAGTGGCAAAAAGAAAGAAGTGACCCATCCACTTCAAGATCAGTTATATTCCTTTGCCGTTTGTCCAGGACCCAAACAGAAAAAGAACTGAGAATAGCAAATTACCTCTGCAAAACAGGGAGTCTCATTCAGAAGCAGAACAAGCCATTCCCATGTATCAACTTCAAGGAGTCGCTAACGAACATAGCATGGAAGCTCAACAGCTAAAGACAGGAAAAGCTCCATCAAACAGCCATTGCTTCCTATTACTCGCCTTTTCAAATATAAGCAACCAGAAAGGAAGCTTCCTTACAACAAGACATCATCACAGAACTTATTTCATTATGATGACAGAGTGGGAGTCCCAAAGGATCAGAACAGAGACAAACATTTTGCCAAACCTGCACAAGCAACCCCCCTAGTTCCTGATTTCGGTCCCCGGGTAGCAGGGCATTGATGCAAAGCAAACAAGCAGAAGGCGTTGCTCTGCTTCATTGTTCTATTTATGTCACCTCTGTTCTCAAATCATCTAATTCCCGCAACCGCTCAAAACCACAAAAGTGAACATATCATTTGTTTTACCCTAAGAACGTATTGCCAAAGGGTAACCCATGTCTCTTCTGCATTTCCTAGTTCTTTGGGTTATGTTTTTTAATGCTTTTTCTCGCACCAGAACAAAGAACTGCTGCGCAAGAAAAAACCACTTGGTCCATCACGCCTGTCCCCTTGGGGTTTATCTCTTCATAACCAGTGTTTCTCCGCTGTGCACTTCAATACCATGTTTCTCTCACCGAAAAATCTGTCTCAAACTTGTTTTCATGCCGTTTACTTTGATGGTGTTATTTAGCAAATTATTCCATATGTTGCCCATTACGGTTTAAGCTAAATATTTCTTTCTGGAAATCCAGATCACCGATCCTTTCAAACTTACAAATTACACTCGAGGGTGTAATTTTTTTTCCCTGTCTTTAAAACACTCACAGAGGTAAACATTTTATTTTTCCTAAAGAAAGGTAACCAAACTGAAAAGGGCACACAAAATGCTGTGTTATCATTTCAGGGACGTGGTGTGTATGATGTGAACTGTTATTGTGGATGACTGGGGTTCTAGCTCCTTGCTGATTCATCCTGAAACACAGTTTGACTTTTTTCTTACATCCTTCTGTTCAAAAGATTCTCAGATCTATGAAGCTAGAAAGGGTAGATTACTTTGAAGCCAGTACACATGTACCTTCAGGTTTGTTGTTCCTTAACTCGTTGCTTGGCATTTATCAGAAAACCTTTTGACTGTCACATGACATACTTTCTTGTCTATATTCATTTTTAATCTCCCTATTTTTTTTAGTATCAACTGTACCCAGGAGGTTGACCCACTGCTGTCATGGGTACTAATGCCAATGTTCATAACTTTACCAAAGCTACTGAGGAGTGTTAACTGCTCATGCAAATTACAGAGAGCTCATAAAACCCAACTGCTGTCTTTTTGCAATATACCAAAGATTACTGGAAAAGTGATTCAGTCTCAGTTAAGGTCTTTGTTCATGCAACCTCCTTCATTTATGTACTTGCTATTACTAAACAAATAAAAGTTTTATGAGGTGGATGCTTAGGAATTTTAAAGATAAAAACTATTTATCTTTAATTAACAAATCTTAATTTTATACTCTGGTAATATTATGATCTGTAATAAAAATCAGTATTTACCAGCAATTACAGTTTCTAAGTATTGGTCACTAAGCAAGTACTTTCCAACTTTTAACATCCATTGCTTTTAACCACAGTATTGTTTCTCAAGTGAATCAGACACCAGTTTTGTAATTATTCCTCAAGCCATTAGTCAAACTGCAGGAAATGTAAATGCTTTCCAAATAATGAGATGTATTAACGTTCTTCTTGATAATTGCCATTAGCATTTTGTTTATCTCAAAACCTTTCCTCCTTAGAAGAGCCTTTTGTATCAGCGCAAGATAAACGTAACCAACTCTGCATTACAGTGCTTCGGGATATCCCACATACTTCAAGGGCTTGCCTGGTGCAAACGTGAACAAATTTAGTTCTTCGTATGAAGAAAAAATGGGAGAGATTTTGGAAGAAAGGTGTATTGATGGAGAGGGTACTACAATGGGATCGTCAGAATCTTTTTAATTTCATCTTTTATGTAAGTATCAGTGCAATTCTATTCATTGTACTACCATAATGATGTTAATTACTTGCAAATGCTAATAGAAATGATTTTCACAAAAGTATTGCCATTTATTTATTAATATTCTTTTGAATGTTCCCAGACTCAACAATTTGGTCAACTAATTGTCTGCAAAAAGAGTGTCTTTAAAAATAGATTGGCAGGGTTTTAATTGATTCTATGAAGAGGATGATCAACGGACTGCTATTTCTAATCAAAGCCACTTTTCTGTTTTTATTCAGATTTTGAAATAATTCCTAAATGTTCACCCTTCTCTGACGCTAATCATTGGTAAATTTTCACTGCCAGACAAATGAGGGGGATCTGGCTCAGGTTTATGGCTCTGGTTATGGCATATGAAGGTGTTTCAGGTTTTAATTTACCTTAAATCAAAGGGAGAAGGATTTGTTAATGCTAACCCCAGTCTCCACACTGAACCAAAACAAGGTTTCGTATGCGTGATGGTATCTCTTCAGAAAAGGCAATCTTTATTTTCCTGCTCTTTCAGGTTTTACTACTGACCGCTTCACCAACGTTAAAGAACTCCTGCTTAGAGTACTGCTATATGATGTGAGGCAAGCTTATCCCCCTTTTGTAGAAGTACAGTCCAAGCAGGAAAATGAACTGCTTAAGATGACATAGGGAGCTGTGGCAAAGCCACATATGGAACAAAGCCCAAATTCACTGGGCTTTTCTCCCACGACCACCTTTCCTGAAGGTCAAGAAAAAGATATAATTTTTACAGTTATTTAAAAAGGGCTAATTGGAGGAACATTTGTCTGCATTACAGCTGGCTCTACCGGTGCTACTACTAACCTCATTTTCATGACACAAAAATCAGTTATCTGAGACAGCTAAATAGTTAACCGATACCGCTGCCCCCCCATCTGGAGAGATATCTAATGCATCTATCACCATAACATTCAATAAAATAAAAAACATAGGCCTATATTAAAAAACATCATCCCAAACGTGTTTTAAATCACAATCAGTTCCCCATCTACAGAAAACAGGCTCACCTCCAGTAAACAAGCACAGCAATGAGAAGAATGAGGCACACGAAGGTCAGTGCTGAGACCACAATAAGCGGGATGATCCATTCCATTTTACCAGGAGAAGGTCTCGTGGCCATGCTGGAGCTGTTCTTGTCAGCTGTGTATTAAACACATAATAAAAATAATCACTAAATGGAAAAAAAAAAAGAATTACTGTAGGGAAGATGTGTAAGCAAAATAAAATAATTTGTCCATTTTACATGATATGAGTAAACACTCAGAGCAAAGACCTTCGAATTGCAGGGTGGGACTCCATTTTTCTTTAGTCTTAGACATTAGAGCATAAAAGTATGGCGTATATTACTGCACATGGTTTAGATTTTACTACTGCCCGTAATTACAGTCTCATACATAATTTCAGGACTCTGTTGTACAAGCACCTATTATCAGATGTGGAGTACCCAACTGAGTCATTCCACTACAACAACAAAGTAAATGCTTTTCTTGGTCATCGGTGCTCACAGGTAAATGCACCCAGTTTCTCAACACTACAGGACAGCTCTGTTTGCAAAGCTCAGTGTCATATTTTGCTTCAAAAATAAATTTCTTGGTAACTCTTGAAATAAAAAAAAAAACTCAACATGTTGGGTGTCATGTCACATCTTCTGCTAAATTGTTACAATCTGGTGAGTTACTGCATATGAAAGCACTTTCTGGCATATGGATTGTCAAGATGGATGGATGGATGGATAGTATGTGCTGTAACTGACAGAAGAAATCATTACTCTGCAGGTTTTAAACAAAATTGGAGTATAGTCAATATCCTGAGATCTGGCTGAGTACCTCCATTTCACTACTTGCATGACACTAACACCACATTAAAATTATTGTGTCATACGTAAGATTAATGTCTAGAGGTTCTTCAATATTGGAGCCCATCAAAGTAGACATTGTATCTACATTTTATTTCAAAAGACATCTCATTTGTGCAAATTCATGTAGACTTGAAGAATGAAAGTTTTTAGATAGAACCTTAAAAGAGAAATATAGAAGTAAACTCTATTTCATTCATGTTACCTAACCAACAGGTGGTAGTTGATCAATACCTGTCAGCAGGACATAATGGGAAATGATTAGTGTAAACAGCTTCAGCTCTGAACAAAGATTGAAATGTGAAATGTACACACTTGATTTCTACTTATTAGCCCATGTGAGTCTTGCCTTACCAACGTGCTTCCTTGCCCTCGTTCTGTACTGTGTTATCATATCTTCTGAAACTGCTGCAAATCCAACCAGAAGAACATAATTGCCTTTTCACCGTAGGCAGGCAAAACACAGATAATTGGAAGTCACCAGATGTCGCATAATATGAAGTCATACTCTATTTTAATAGCATTTAGATTATACTCCTCCATAGGCAGGAGTAAAATTCAACTAACATGGAAGTAAAGGTTAATTGTAAATGCTTTTGCCTGACTGCTGAAAACAGAGCAAGGCTGCGGGCTGCTGCAAGCCCAGCAAGAAATCTTTCTAGTTTTAAGAACTAGGCTGATGGAGGTAATGCCCTTTAGCAGGCAGCCTAAATGAGGTGCTAATCAGAGGGATGTTTGGGGGGAAGGGAACGTGCACTGAGTATAGAACTGATCAAGAGAGAGATGAGTGGCCAGTTGTCTCCAACTTCAGTAAAAAAGGCTACTGAGGTTACCAACAGCGCAAACCTTGCAGAACAGGCACACCATGTTTTACTTAGAGCAGCTAGTGAGCGTTCACAGCATACGATTAACATCCAGCATAGCACTTTTAAGACAGGTCTTTGATTTCCTTGACTAGCAAAGAGTAAGGAAAAGAAGAACAGCCCCAAAATTAGAACAAAGGTTTATTGTCTCTATTTGCAAAACTTGCAGGAATCATAAGCCCTGAGGCATCAATTTTTATCTGTGCATTTCAAATCATTTAATAGGATGAAAAATTAAGCTGGTGAGGTAAGTGTTATTAATCAGAGTGGTAAAAGGGACAAAGTAAAACCATACAATGTAATAAAACTTACTAGGGGAGCCAAACGGTCTCGCCATACAGAGTGGATATACCCCTGTACATCTATTATGGTATTGCTTCATATCTCTCCAAGGACAGTACTCTATTCAGTTTCACCTCCACAGATTTCAACGCAAAAACATATGTTTCTGGTTGCATGGAAAGAAAATTAAATTCCACTGTAAGCACAGCATGGGCTGGAGTCCCTCTACACACTAATATATTCTGCAATGCTCATGATGCTCCCCTTACTTAGTCTGATGTGGAGGACACACTTATCTAACCCTGCCAACTCCGTATACCACAGATGTGAGGATAAGAAAGTGCTCAACATGCTGAGTGCCAGAACAGCAAATGCCATTCACGCATGCTGACGGCTGACCCCGAAATTCCAGTCGGGAACGGTCAAGCAGTGAAGTGCCTCCAAAAAAAGGAGACCATTCCTGTACTGGCTGTGAAGAGAAAGTCTTAGGTGTTTTTCTCTTCTTAAGAAGAGCGTTAAGAGAGCTTTGAACAAACCAAGGCTCGTGAACGTTGTACTAGAGTGACAGCCAAGGCTGGAAGAACGCAGTGGTACAGCTGGACTGCCGGCAGGTGTCTCTTGGGTACCATGGCAGAAGAGCCTAAACAAAGCAGCACTCTGGATGAGAAAATGAGCTGAGGAAAACACACACAAAAAAGATAGAGCTGGGCCTTTATATCTTCCCATGCTTCTACATGAAAAGATATTGCAAAATAAAAAATACAGCACTTCACTCTCTTTTCCAAGCCAAGCATTTTGAGCCTTGGTAGCACCACCAGCATATCCTTTTAACTGTGGCCACCATACACGGTACTGGGGCAAAAAAATGCTTAAAAAATGGACTAGGAAACTCCAGTTCTGCTAAAAAAATGCAAACAGTTTCCAGTGGCATATGCCGTCATTGAATTAATTCAGTTTGCCTTTTATTGGCTTGGAATTCATCCTCATAGGAAGGAATAAAAACGATTACAGCATGACACAAGTCCCCTCATCGCTAAATCCACTCTTGCATGTGGAAAAATCTGTAACTATCGTTTTCCTGTGAATCGTTCATTCAGTAGTCCCATCTAGTTCAACCTCTGGCACCACGAATATTAGAGACCACTGGGACAGCGAGGGGTGCTTTGCTAGTGAAACTCATGAACAAAGGTCAGGGCATGAAAAAGGCACTCTGCAGTCGCAGATATCTACTGCCTTTCTGTGAATTCTTGGTAATTGGCTCCTGAGAACAGAAACCTATTTATTTCCCATAAGTAACACTGCTTGCTATAATAAGCAACGGTAGCTGTAATATATAACCTACCTAGCATTTTACTTTGAAACGTCCCTTTATCATCCCTTGCCATTGCATAGGCCACCTGGACAAAGTTCTGTTTGTTATACCATTGCAGATACAGATAACCACAGCAATACAAATGCTGCGAGTGCCAAAAGAAAACCCTCTGCAGAACCATCTCAGATAGCCAGTCATTTGAAAGAATGGCACCTGCTAATCTTTCCTTGAGTAAATAAAATTACAGACCGATACAAAGCAATCAATTAATTCTGAAAAATAATGTCAGTCATATTATTTAACTATGAAAAGGCAATTTTTTTTTAACAAAAAGGTATCACCTTTGATACAAGTTGACTTCAGTGCACAGCCATTTTTTTCCCCTATTTCTTTAATGGCATTTCTGCACCACCCATACTTGCAGGTTATACACAACAAAGCATGGCTTTTCACTGTTTCACGAACAGAAGCCAATAATGTGTAATGTGCGTAATCCTGGTGTCAGATAACTGAGATGCATACTATTTACACAACCCAAATCTTCTCAATAAGCCAGTTCTTTTATTTACAAGCTGCTCTGTTGCTTGTTCCTAAGTTGCCATGCGAAGCAGCTCAAGCGCCACATGAAAATACAGCTTAATAATCCTTGCCACGTATGCAGAAAGAAAGAATTGCACAGATGTTTAATTATCTTAATGAGGTTATCCCCAAAAGGCTTTTGTAACCTCAGACCTGGCAAAGACGGTTCTAAAAACCAAAATTCACTCTACGCTAAAGGCATATACCAGGCCTGGAATTTAACATGCACATCACGTCCTCTCTACAAAGCCCTCTCGTGGGAGAAAGCCAGCACGAGCAGGTAAGCGCTGAGGGATGGGAGGACCTGGCTGAAGCCTGGATCAAACCGACCTCTCTGTTGTTCTCCATCCCAGCTCTAGACTCAGACGAAAGCCCCAACCGGAAACATGTTACTTTGCTCACAACAGCATGCAGGAAGCACATTCATTATCTCCTGCCCAGCACAAAGGATTTGCTTAACTGTCCGGCACAAGAAACCAAAATTCTGTGGGGTAATATCTGCTCTAGCCTGTTAAAACTGAATTGTGCTGTTTTTCTTTCTTTCTTTCTTTCTTCTTCTTCTTCTTTTTTTTTTTTTTTTTTGGTAGAGCATCATTCTAATTGCTGTTTTTCTAATTTTCAGGTTTCAGAGGCCCAGACAATGATGAGCAGCTGCATGTGTAACAGTTGCAGATCAAAGATACAATTAGTCTAATGTGGGCAACACCACAGAGAAAGGGATGAGCAGGAAAATGAAAGAGGGGAATGCAAGCGAGCACTCAGCGACAGAAGAAAATCATTAGTGTTGGCCGATACCACCAGGCAAGAAGAGGCCAATGCCATTTGGAAAATAATGACATGGCCTCAAGAGAGGTGTGTGTATGTGCGTGTGAAATAAGCACTAAAAGAAAATGAGCCTTGCTGTACTAATTGGCCTCGCACTTTCCCCATAATTTCTCATGTGTTCCCTGTTCTCCTCTAATCAGCCACACTCCTGAGTACTTCCCCTTTCAGTTATCGCCTTACAACTGCTAATTTGATGCTCTATAATTAATTTACAAGTGTACATTGTTATGAAACAATTTTCTACTCTTTACAATGATTAAACTTTCTCCTTGCAAAAACATTTTTGAAACCCTGACAGCTTTTAAAAAATGCTTTCCTGCAGAAAGGATACATCCAAAAAAGTTTCTGCCCTCTATGGGACACAATAAGCTGCAGCAGTTTCTTTCTGCTCTCTTTGGAAGTGACCTTTACCTTCTTTTGTCTGTCCTGATGCTCAGGAATGATTTTAGACACTTTCGGCAATGGCCTCTTAGCTTGGCAATTCGTTGCCCTGATTTTAGGTTCACCTTTGTTGTGAAAAACACTGCAGGCCCTTGCTCATAGGAGGAGGCCCTTGCTCATACCTGGAGTTTCACTGAAGTCAGCTACTTGCATGAGCTATGTCTGGTTTGTTTGCATGAATAATGAATTTCCACATTACTCTGGAAAAATTAAGCTGAAGATTCGAATTAGTCTTAAGCTTCACACTGGTGTTTGGCTGATGACCAGCGCTACAGGCATGGGTTTTGCTGGCAGGTGTCTTCAGTAGCCTAGGTCCAGCCCTGGGGAAAGCTCCTTCTGCATTCTGAGGCTCTTCTCATAGGGGCAGCACTCCCGGCAGGCCAGCCTGGCCTTACTCAGGCCAATTTAATATACATTGAGGCAAATTTCTGGCAAGGCAGATCTCAGCGATCTACTGCAGGTACCTGGGTGGTAAAGAAGAAAAGAGAAGGATTTCCCTGAAAGAGACTTGGAGGACAAGATCCTCACATCTGGTGCAAAGCGATCCATCTTTCCCTGAAGCATGTAAAAAAAAACCTCAAAGTGTTCCCAGATAGAGCTGAAAAAAGTGCGCCCTTCCCAGCAACTGAACAAGGAGTCACCAGGTTTGTGAATAACCTAACTTTTCCCCCTGGAAGTCAAGGAGGGGGAATGAAATTCTACCTTGTGGAAAATGGCACAGATGGGCCCTTCTTAGTCTCTGCATACCCTCTTCCAGACCCTTTGCCTCCAAGCTCAATACTCTGACAAACCTGGGTGAGCTTGTCTGTGAAGCTGAAAATATTCCTTCCCCACATACTCGGTGCGCCACCAGATATTTGGCCAAGATTTAACTAAGACCACTTTGGGTGAAACAAGCAGCGCTTTCACTTTTGTTTTCCCCCAGTTAACATGTGCGGGTCACTTCAGATTTCATTTCCTACACATGGAAGCCTGATTTGTTTGACATAGTGATCTTATGAGGTTTCTTCCCTCCATACAAGTATGGAAAAACCTCCTTTGCAGAGCCCTTTCAAGACTAATCGTCTTTGCGTGCAGTCTTCAGGAAGGCTTCGTTTCAAGCCTCCGAGCTGGAGGGCAACTTGCAGGTGAGCAGAGCTCATAAAAGAGCCTCTAGTAGGAGGCAAAGCTGTATTGAACCACTTTCAGTGGTCATCTCTGTATGCTAAAAGAAAACAGAAACCATTACAGGCAAAGGGGGTACAATTCACAACAACCAGTAACTACTTCTGAGCAATATTAACAATAACTCCCCAAATCCTCATTGATTTTCACCGTCGTCTTCTTAGCCTGACCAATACAAACCAATCTAATAACAAACTCTTTGTCATTAGCCAAAAAGCTAGAGCTACCCATTTTTCCTTCAATTTACATTAAGCTGAGAATAAGCCACCGGGGCCGTTTGCTAGGGCTTCTACAAGGGACATGGAATTTGGGTCATCTGAGAAACTGGGGCATGAGAAACAGCGAAGCAGAAGGCAAGAAGAACTGAAGAAAACTATTCAAGAGGCGGGTTTACCCAGACAGATCAAACAGTTGGGGTTTGAACTTACAGGGTGTTGAATGCTTACCCTCAGCACTGCAACACAGCTAGGACAAGTTCCCTCCTTCCTGACATGAAGCTGATTAGGGCGAGAGGCATGCTGAAAGCTGCTTGTCAGGCATTGCAGAGCATATACAGTGGGAACACGAGACTTTGAAGAAAATTTCCAGGTGAAGAGTGAGAAAAACAGTGTATTTAAAAAAAAAATCAGAAAAACTTGGTGCAGGTTGCTTGGCTTCATCATTGCTAATCTGTTCTCTTACGGAACAGTTACAATTCACAGCATTAGTCAGGTCAGCATGTCCATAATAAATGCTATTGAAGTTTGGATTTAGCTTTGGTTTTCAAATTGATTCTGAGCTATTCCTGAGAGCACAATGTCTGCACTTTTGTGTTAATAAATGTAAGGGGAAATAAATATTGTGTTTTTTTTCCCACAGTATTTTAACTCTAGAAGAGCTTGGATGGAAAAATAAAATGACAAAACAGCCTATAGATTAGCAAAATAAACAGTAACAGTCAAAAAACCAAACCAAAAAAATGTACACTGTCTTATAGACGCTGCGGTAATACACATTAACACTCAAGTAAACTTGCCATTGTTTCTAAATCTCCGTCCTGCCTCTGCAAACAAATCCGTATGAATGTAGTCCATTTGCTCCTGTGCAGTTAAAGATTTGTTTTCCTCGCAGGTGCCTGGTGGGCAGAAATACGTGCATATGGCCTGGACTTTCTGCACAGCACGTTGGAACACCACCAGACATCTGTTTGCCTAGGTCTGTGCAGCAAATCCCAAACCCGCTGGACTTGCTGCACATGCAGATCACCTGTGCTTGCTTCCAAAAGGTCATATTCACTGTGCACATACTGAGGAGCTGGCACGTACATGCAGGGTTGACATGTACAGGAGAAACAGTAATTTAGGACAAATGTAGAATATCCACGAATTCTGCTCGACCATGGTTTTCTTCACAGGGAAAAAAGAAGTAAGGTGATCCTAGTGCAAAAGGTGCCTTGTCTTGCAAGACCAGATTATGCAGGTTTTGTGGTGAGAAATAAGCCAGCAATGGTCCCATATTTGCGAGAATATCTCAAAGCCAAATCAGGGAGAATCCTGCAGATAAACTAAATTAGCTTATAACATACATAGCAACCTTCCCATTAAACACCAGCTAGGCACAGCAACCGCTGTTCCAAATTAATTTCACAGCTATAGTCTACCACGTTCCCCCTTTTGTTTTTTTAAACAAAATCCTTAATGTAGCATGTTAGGGGCTAACGTTTCTCCAAACTTCCTTTTCTAGTAACGAGCACAGCTAGCATCCATCTTTCCCCCAAAATTAAAAGACGATCCTCTCCCTTCTCCTCCCCTCAATAGTAATTTCTGGATTGGGCCCTGCAAGGACCTGCCCATTGGGGGAAACCAGGCCCCATGACAGTGTTGTAGCTACTGGAAATCAGTAAGGAATTTGGTCTGCGTAATTATCCGACAGTGTTATGCTGGGAAAAAACAGTTCCCCGGAGGTCACTCACCTGGGTTGATGGTGATAAATTTGTTATCTGAGGGGTATTCCTCTGGAAAGCGGTCCTCCTTTGGAAAAGGTTTTCTCGTTGTCTCTGGTTTCCTTGGGCTCTTGCCCAGGTAAAGTTCATCGGTGAATGTTGGTGGCACTTGGGTGGAGGGGAGAGGTGGGGGCTGAGGCTCTGCTGCTGCAGAAGTCTCCTCCATGGGACGTCCATCTGTTGGGGTAAAGTTTTGGCTTCGCTCGTGACCCGATATGGTTTTATTTCCTTCCTCCCCGGCAGTCCTATTGGGGGCACCAGTGGCTTGTGGGGGCTCTGTGCTATTTCGCACGTCTGCGGCGGCCTCGGTCGCTCTGCTCTTCTCCTTCTTCTCTGCATCCTTTTCTTCCTCTTCCTCATGCTCCCTCTCGCCATCCTCACTTTCGCTCTTTTCGTCCTTTTCTCCCTCCTCCGCTCCCTCGCCGTCCTTGGTCAGCGCTGCGTCCCGCTCCGGCCCTGGCGAAGACGCGGCCTCGGTGGTGGCCACCACCGGCCGGCCCGGCTGCTTGCTGGGGGCCGCCGCCGAGGGAAGGCGGGTGGGCCACACGCTGCTGGGGAAGGAGGAGATGCCGCCGCCACTAAAGCCCAGCCCCGCCAGCAAGGTGCTGGTCACTACCGAGGCCACGGTGGCCTGGCTGCCACTGGAGGAAGGCCCCATCCCTGTGGCCATGGACACAAAGGAGAAGGGGAGGCCGGCAGAGGTCCAGGTGGAAGAGCCAGAGCTGATGGGCGCCATGTCGGCTGAGGAGGCTGGCGAGGCGGTGGGCTTGAGGAGAAGGCAGGGGAAAAAACACAGCAGAGAGCATCAGTAGGGGCCCCTGACATGCTACCTGGGCTCTTTTCTCTCTTTCTTTCACACGCACGCCTTGCCGCTTGTTATTCTCTTTAAATGAGAGAAGCGGATTTACACCAGCTGGACGCAAGACTGAGCCAGAAAAAGCACAAGCCACCGAGTCACAAGGCAAGTGATGATGGGAGGAAACTTCCCTGCATTTGCCATTTCAAAATAATCATTATAATCAAAGTCTCTTTATTCTTATCTTCATTATACAGCGGGGCTTTCTCCACCCACATCACTGGCTACTTGTGAGTAATGTTTCCTTTTGGGGGTGGGGGAAGATGTGAAGAAGTTTAATGAGTTTAGTGGCATTACTCATAGCGCTCTAATCCTCAGAAGTATAAAAATACGGCGTTACATAAGCGTCGTCCAAAAATAAGAGCTGTGCCGCTACCGCACGGGCAGGGCTGCTGGGCCCCCTCTCCAAGGGAGCTCTGGGTCTTCCCACGCACATTGTTAGTGCCTCAAACGGTACTATTTTTATTTTCTAAATTTACCTTCCGACATCAGCATTATTCTCCTAAGGACTAGTACTGCAGCAAGCAGCAAAGCGTTGTTCTTGTTAGAGAAGACCTGCTGCAGGTCCAGCTGGGAAGTCGAGGAAGACTTAGAGGGCATCAGGAGCCTGGGTAGCTGCCGGCACGGCTGGACCGCGGCCGCCACGCACCGGCTTGGTGTGCTCCATCCCGCAGCGCTCTCCCTGCTGCCTAGCTAAGTGTTGCTAAACTAATCAACTAAGTGCATGCATGCTCTGTGTATGTATACGCATGCTTTCTCTGAAATAGAAAACCCTGGTATATACCTTAAGAACGAGACTAATAATTCACTTTCCTAAACGTGTGCAAAAAGATGCTGAAGTGAAGTGAGTTGGCCAAGGACATGGAGTAATTCTGCAAAACAGCTGGGGTCAGTGGCTCTGCCCAGACCACGTTCCCTCTCTGACCTATTCGAACATGTCTCATTGTCACTGACTGCATCACTGAGCGGACCATGAGCTGCAAATGCACACACCAGATATGGACAAACAAGGGTTAAACAGGTGCTACTCAACCTTGAATCAAACCATAAAATGTCTCTCTATTTCTGGAACAGCTTTGAAATTTAACAGTATTTCTGCATCTCTCTGCCATTCCCGGTTTCAATCAGGCCATGTAGTTGAAATGCTGCAGCAAAACAAGAAAGGCTGCTTTCTCATGTTATTTTTGACCAGCTGCAATCACAGAGAACCTGAGATCTCAGAAGAAAACCTGTGCTTTAGATATATCCAGCCAAAACTTTAAATAAGCATCTAAACTTTTGGATACTTATCAGCGTGAAACCCTAAGGCATTGTGAGATTTGCTTTTCTTTGGCATGTATAGTCTCAAAGCTAGACTGAGTGTTAAAATTTGACAGAAGTTTTTGTACCTCTAGAATACCTCTATATATCATTAAAAAAACATTAATCATTCAAATTCAAGCTCTGTTTGTGTAGTAACACTAGGGAGCATATCAAACTGGAACGGAATAAAACCAAAAATAATATATGTAGAGAAAATTCAATAGCATGAATTCAGCCCATAAATTTGACTGAAAAATTTAGTATACTGAATGCCAAAAATTTAAGGTTATGGATGATTAATGTTAAAGAACGAGGTGCTTGCAAAACTGAAAGGGTGCATTTCAGTTTTACTGTAAAAGTATCAACCTTTCTGCTTCTGGAATACAATAGGCAGCTTTAGTGACTTGTTACCGTGTCACTTGAATTAAAATTAAAACAAACAGCTTGTTAAGACTTCATTTACACAACAGCAGATATCCTTAAAGCACTGGAAGAGCAATTAATACAGTTAATAAAATAATTTAAATTTATTTCCATTGTCATCATTAAGACTACACAGCCCATCTAAATGTATTTAATATGTATTTTGGAAGTTTTTCTAACACATGATTCTCCAGAGGTCAAAGCTTCTTGGAATCTGAGGCCAGAAAGCCAGAACCTCACTAATATTTTATGCAGGTTATGAAACCTTGTGTGCAGGGCTTAAACCACCACCACCCCAAGAAATCGCGGCCCCGCCACAGATTTACAACATCATGCTGCCACCTGGTGGGAACGCTGCCACAAATTACAAATGCCCGCCAATTCACTGCAGTGATTTATGTCCACAACTTACCACTCCTGTTTTCACAATTCTGGTCCCCTCGAAAATTCGAGTCGTGTTAGCTGAGAAACAAAGAATAACAACATTTAAGTGGACTAGGAAGGGAGACAGGAGAGGACAGTGACATTGCAAAACAATTCTTCCTAAACAGTTGCTGAACACTGCTATGACTAAACATGCCAAAGGGCGAAAAGAAATGGAGGCCTGCGAATGAACCGGTAACCACAGACTTGGCAGGAAAGCATCAGAGAAGGCCTGTTGCATGTAGCAAAGTCCAAAATATGATCAGTTATGGTGATGTCAATCTGGAGTAAAGACAAGCTTCTCTAGACAAGCTGTTTGATATTCCTCACCTAACTCCACTCAGGTCTAAAGACAGATTCGTTTATCTTTAATTACTCAGGACTGGAAATGCTAGGCTAAGTCCACTGTCAGAAAACACATGTTCTCCTTCAAATCCAAGCTGGATGAACTGGACTGACTCACACCAGAAGCTTGAGTAGCTGAGGATAATAGCTTCTTTCTGCCCTTATGCTATGTTATCTTTATTTATTGCTATTTCTCTTGAGTACAATAATCAGACTCTGAAGAATGTTTTGAGAGCTCAGGTTGATTTTTTTTTTAAAAAGCCATTTTTTTTTAAATAGCCAAAGACTAGAAGAATACCTGCTTTGTGGGGGGACACGGAAGGATGTGCAACATCTACTCCTATATCAGATATATGTGTCACCATCCACTTTTTTGAATAAAAGGCTAAGGAGCACAAGGAGTATTTGACAAAACTGTCAGTAACATTTTGTTTTTAACTGTAACTAAACGGTTATCATGGTCAAATTTCAGAGAATCTTTCCCTTTAACATCTGCTGAAAGAGGCCAGAGTCACTAACACACCGCTTGCTGCCTCCTGCCTGGCACTTCTTAAACTGAACTCCAAAACTTTCTGCTGAGAGACTAAAAAATTCAGACCTGTATGAGATATTGCTTGGACAGGACAGTTCCTGTCTGATCCCTGTGATGCTGCTAACACTGTGGCATTTAACAGGGATGCTGGAACAGAACTGAATTGTGTCCACAGCTTGACATCCTTCAGATGCTAATGACTGACAAGTTAGCATTAAAATCAGCATATTTTCCAAAAATTTCCCTTAAAAATGCCTCTTATTATTTTGTTCCATATACAGTATAATACCCAAGTGATCTAACTCTGCTTCACCTTAAGAATTTGAATTTTTAACTCTACACTTGTTTTGTTTTTCCAATACCCATTCCTAGGCTTACATTTCTTAGGAATGTCATGGGATGAGCACTCGCAGCAGAGGTGAATTTTGCCCTAGCTAATAAAACCCTACCTAAAAAAATAGAAGTAAATTCCTGAGGAGAAGCAAAACTTTGGCACTTACAGAAACCAAAAGCATCAAGTTCTACAAATCTCAGCTTTACCAGACTTGTCAAACACACGTCAATGGAAATCCATGACAACTGACAGTTTAGCAACCGGTTCTTTAGCTCTCATTTAAATGTGTGTGTTTCGGAAATCACTGAGGCTGCGTGCAGGCTAAAAACCTGACAATCTCTACAGGAGGTTGTCGAGGTGGGACTGATCTCCCTCCTCCTTTATGTAAGGCAGACACCAATCAGACTCTCGTTCTGCTATAGCTGAGCCTCTGATGCATAAGCAGTCACTGATGAATTTGCTTTATAAAACTAGTGAAGAAAAGCTATGTATTCTCATAAGAACAGAGACACCACTTCCAACAGAGCGGTGTAGGCAAACCCCTATCATGAGAAAGAGGACTGTGCTACAAAGTCACTGGCCACAGTTTGAAATTGGCATCGTCTACATGCATTTAAACATCTTCTGAGATCACTCCACTACATATTGCACTCTGCAAAGAAAATGTTAAACACACAAAGAATCATTTAATTTAAAAATACATTCGTTTGTTTGGTTTTTTTTACCTTGAAAGAGCATTGTCTGGCTAAAGTCACTACGCATTTCATTTCGGCAAACTGCTTGAACTCTGAACAGATAAAGGATGTCAGGTGAGACATGGCTAATGATGGCCTTCTGTTTAAAAAAAATAGATATTATTCAGTTTTTTACCCCCACAGGACTGTCCACGATCAGTTTGCAATATATAAAGCATTGCGCTAACACAGGACATTTGTGCCATGTAAGACAAACTTATTTCTAAAGGAGAATAGTCACTGCTCCCCTGGGAGAGGTCAAGGTGAAGGTCAAATGACTTCCCTGGGATCAAAGCGTTACACCCAGACTCTGCTGGCTCTGCCCACGGGAAAGAAATGAGCACGCTTCATGTCTGCTCTCATGCCTCATGCTTGAAAGTCTCTGCTCTCCTCAGAAAACCCTAACCCTCCAATCATTTGACCTTACAGGAATTAAAAAGAAGACTTTTATGGACGGAGGTGCAAGTTCCAGCCCTGGGATAAGGCCTGAATGGTTCATACCCCTTGTTTATTTTGCAACAAACTGGCTATGGCAATTTGCAGCTGGTGGCCCATAAGGTGTGATCGGCTCAGCACCCCGGACTGGGATGCCCCTACACCCAAGACCCTGCCTTGCTGCCTTCACACTGCTTCTCTGGCCTTTAGTCCTCGATCACACCACTTTGTGTCTTGCAGCAAAAAGCACCTGTAGTTGCGTGGGTCATTTGAAATAGCAACGAATCCTTCAGTAAAACACTGTCTAGCTCTGTTTCAAGATGGGACAACCCAGCTGTTTCTGCCAGAGCACTGAAAGTGGATTGCACTTTCCTCTGAAAAAGTTTCATTCTTCTCTTGCCCCAACAATAGACTAAGCTATCGCTGCTTCCTTAACCTCCAAGCTCTACTGCCCAGCACAGGGTCTCACCGCAATTTATTTCCAAGCTATCACTCCACCACATCCTCTGCACATTTAATTATTTCTCGTACATAAAATAACAAAAAAATGCTGTCGCTGTGCCCACATCATTTTTGCTGATTAACACTCTCCTCCTTATTACTGATTAAAAAAAAAAAATCTCCCTTAAGAGTGCGGAGTTAGGACAAGAGAGAGGTTACAATACATCATAACCTTGGGTGCCTTTCAATAGATTCCTTTCTGATTTCGTGAGGCACATCATTCCCTAATGTGACCCAGATAGCAATGTCTAGTGGGGAAATTGAAAATATAAATGGAAATGAAGTAAAAGAATCTTCATCTAAGGGAATAAGAGAAGTATTATTGTCTAACTGATTGAATGGGCCCAGAGGACTGTGTATTCGAAAAAAAATACGATAACAGTCATTAGGAATAACACTCTGTGCTGCTGCATTTTTCATGTGCGTATACAATTACTGATTTCATTATTCTAGAGGCTTTCTTTGATTAACAATAAACGGAGGCCTTTCAAAACGGAATATGTCACTTTGATTTTATACGCAGAGAATGTTAAAGACCGGTACAATACTTGCTTCCACTTAGACAAGAATGACAAGCAGATCAAATCCTAAACGTAGAGGATACATTGGTGTTTCCATCTTTGCTGGGACTGTCTCGCTCTTCCCTCTCTTGCTCTCACAGCCAGACTGAGGCAATGCTTGTACAGGTCACTCTACAATAATCTTCTAGCACTGACCATGAAGTTATTGCTACTGGCAGCACTTATTGATCAGAAACTGTTCCAAAGCCTGCAAGGGGCCACGCACAGTGACAAACTTCATTTTGGGGGATTAGGCCTCTACTGTGATAATCTGAGAGCTGAACAAGAGCCAACAGGCATTCAGAGTCTAACCATTTCCTGAGCTAGCTACTTCTCAGCAATGGTATGTGAAAAGGTGTCTGCAGATTTAGTCCTTTATATACTCATATAAACTAAAAACTCACACTCCAGTGTTTTGGGCGGTCTATCAGGCAATCTTCAACTAATGCTGAACATTTTAAAAGCAATTCCTTGAAAGTCAAACACTAGCTTGTCTATAACGTAACAAATACTTTCCTTCTACTGAGAAAATAACAACATAAGGACAGCTCGAGACATAAGTCAACGGGTGATGCTGTGGTTTTACCAGATCCTTGTCACTGTCCTTGGTGAAAGTCTTCTCCTTTTCATCTTCGTTTTTAGTCCAACTGTAGGAGATCATGTAGTTCATGATAGGAGGGTGGTAGACGGTTTCTGGTTGGTTCCATGTTACAAGCAATGCTGTTCTGTTCACAGGCTGCACTTTCATGTTGACCGGAGGAGTGCTACAAGCTAAAAAAGAAGGAACAAATATGAAGCTCTCCAAAGTAACCGAGAGTAAACGGGGAGAACTGTACTTCACTCTAAGAGCCAGTTTTTTTTTTAAAGCCTTCCCCACAGATTGCTTAGCTGCAATCCACTGAGATCAATGGGATTTAATACCACCTGCAGCTGCTTTCTGCTCTCCAGAGTAAAGGGAATCCATTCTCTGGAGGCAGATTGCTTCATTCTTGACTTATTTTCAGTCCTGACATTTGTACCTATACTTTATCTTGGTCACTTAATAACTCTGCATTTGAACACTTACAAGTCCACCTAAACCTGAGCCGCAGCTTCCCTGCACTACTTCCGTTCCCGCAGCAGGCATGGGAGCTGCGGCTGTGGCTTTCTGACCCCATCCACAGATGGAAGAGGAAGACGCTGCTTCTTGGCCAGGGTGAAGTCAGTGGGCAGGTCAGCATGGGAATGGCTTAACTAGAGGGAGAAATAAGGCTTCTGTTTACTTCGGATGCCAAAACCCAAACTTCTCCAGGAAAGACCAAGCTGGGGCGCTAACCGGGCACGTAACGCTTTGCAATGGAGTGCAGAGCAGAGCGCAGCGCAAAGAAAATACTTCTCAAGCAATTGAAATGTAAAGGCCAATGTATGAATGAAGAACACTAGATGGCACTCATGTGCTACCTATAAGGTACGTAATACATTTTCCAACTATAAAAGAGTTTAGATTTTTCCAAGCTTTAAAAATCGTGTTTAAAATACACAATTCAGGACAGATTCTCACATTTCCTTTCCAAATATAAACTCTGAACCAAGAAAAAATCACTTGAAATGATACCCAAATGCATGTGCTGTGGCAAAGGAGCTGGCCTCTTCTGCCAGGAAAAGTCAGGGTGTCACCCAGCCCATCACACTGCTGCTGTTTTCAGAATTATTTTTCCCACTACTGCATTTCCATTTAAAGCCAACACAGTCATCTTATTTGCACTCTGCAGGTATGTGACAGGGTGTATATTTGGACATGTTTCACTTCTAAAGTGTCTTGACTGAACCGAAGGGGAAAAATGTCTATTCCTAGGCCTGGAGTTTCAGGTTGTTCAAGTAACTAATTCTGCTGTCAGATCACTGAAATAGCTACGGTTCCAAAATAAAAACGATTAAACTCTGTAAACACCAGTATTACCAGTACAATGGAAAAATACCTGTCAAATGCATTTGTGCGGTTGTAACTTACATTTAACTAGCCTGAACAAAATAAGAAAACATATATTACAGAAATACACACAGGACAGAAAGATCATTTGTGTTTGTTCCATCAGGAATGACAGTTTTGCAGTTTTGCAGCAGATACTTCTGCTTAGCACAGAAGAACCCAGCAAAGCAAACCCTGCAGTATCTCTAATCACTTGCTTATTGACAAAACAAGTAAAATTTTCCATTTTTGCTGAGCAGAAGGGACCAAACCCCCATTCTGCAGGCAATGCCGCAAAGCCAGAAGTGACACCTTAGCCTGCTGCCTGCAAACCCCTTCCCTCTGTCTCACCCCCTGCTCTTCAGTGCTGAGCCTGCAGACCTGGAGAGCTTGCTAGAGAGAGAGCAGAGGCAGCCTGGACCGAGCTGAAAGCACGTAGGCACGCTCCGGTGGCTGTGCCATGGCCTCTCTCCCAGGTTTGGACAGTCCACACCACAAGGGCTTCCCCATCCTTACAGGGAGAAAGGTGTCACTGTGCTCTGCAGTCCCTGCTGCTAGGGAAGCTCATTATGCTCTCACCTGCCCACCTGTGAAACAAAAGACAACTGCTCTCACCCCTCTTTGCAGTAGTTTGGCTCTACCCAGTGGTACAGTTCAGTTTCCAATCAGAAAAGAGAGCAACCCCAACTAGCCTCTCACGCATGGTCCAGAGCTGTTGCTGCTGCCAGGACTTACAGAGCTCTGTGATCCTTGGTGAGCTTCTCCATGCTCATCTCTTTCTGCTGAGAGAGTCAGATCAATTCTTATTTATATCATCCCTTGCTGATAATTGCACCAGTAACTCACAACCTACCTCCTTTGAAGCCCCTTGCCATTCCAGAATTATTCTTCAAAATACCAGGCCATCCTTTACCATTCCACCTAATCAAAGTCTATCAGAGATGGTAGCCCAGGGTGAAGGACTAGCCAGACCTAGAAGAAGTCCTATGCAACGCTCCTTCTCCAGAAAGATACCCAGGGATTTACATTTTTAAGGTAATCATGCATCGAATTGTTTTAGAAGTAACTCAGGCAGGTAACTGTCACAAGAGATGTAACAAAGAAGTCAGTCTAACTTAATTGCAATGTCCCCTGCTGGCACATGCTGACCCATCCTCTAGCGAGCTGCTTCCCAGAGAATAACCCCATGCCCCGTGAGGGAGAGGGGACTGTTCCCATCCTCTGCTCCATGCGACTCCTCACCACCAGCTTAGACGCAATTCAGAATAGCTCAGGTATTGGCAGCAGGTATTTCCCAAAAGTAAACAGAAGACCTATTTTAGAGGCTCAAAGTTAGGAGACCCTCCCTCCACGACCATGCACCCTGATCCAAGAAGGTCACGAGCACCTTTAAGCAGCTAAATGACTCCGACGACTTCACTGAGACACACACTAACATGTTTTGATTGAGGCCACTGCATGACTAGGACAAACCATGTTCACAGCCAGCTAAAAGGAGACTGAATTTACAATTTCACAGTAAATAATATTACAAACTTTTTATGATTTAGTAGGACTTTGTTCCAATTATTCTGAGACACATGGGAAGAACCTGCTGTAATTAAGTAATAACCAGCATTTTCTGTTCAGCCGCTATTTTTTACAGCTTTTGAATTGATGAATGGGCAAAAAAGAAATCTCATTTTTTATAAAATGAAGCATATGGCTTATTAATTTAACCAAACCTGCTCAGGACACAACGGAATAAAAAAACATTTGATCCAGTAATTCAATTTGATGATTTAATTAAAGTGATACATAATAATGTAGCAAATGTCTGAAAGGCAAAAAAAAAAAAAATCTAATGAGTTGACCATCTATAAAACAACTAGCATTTTCCAGAGATCTAATTTTTCTTTCAAAATTCTGTATGCCTTGGATTTTTGGGAAGAAGATTAAAAGAATCACTGGCTCTTCTTTCTTTCTTTCTTCTTCTTTTTTTCTTTTAATGCTAAGAAGCCTCTACTGATTTTGCAAGTGTGCAGCTGAAGGACAAACAGAGATGCAGAAAGAGGCTGGGGCGGGGAGGAAGAAGTTTGCGTGCTCCTCCGGACTTGAATCAGAATACACTGAAGAAAAATACAAGCTTTTTTGTTTTTTTTCCCCTGCAAGCTAAATAAGCAAACAAGCCAGTGAATTCACGATTGCTTGAGGAAAAAAAAAAAAAAAAAGGGAAACCAACAACCAGCAACGTTTGACATTGAAATAGCAGATTCTCAGCTATTTTTAGAGAAAACACTACTAAAGCTCTCTTTCAAATTCCAATCCTACGGAATAACAAAAATTTGGAAGGGGATCTCAGGACGTCTTTTATGTGGCATAATGCAATACCGAGCGGAGATACCTGCAGTGGGGTACCAAAGCCAATAAGGACTGGCGAGCAGACAGGTCAGCCCTGGCACAGGGCACAGGGGCAAAACCTCGGCAGCGCTCAGTGAGCGAGACGTTCACAGTACCGGGGCATGCCTCGCGGCACGAGAGACGCCCTCACCCCGCCGCGTCTTGGACCTCTTGGAACAAAAAACCAAAAGCTCGCAGGCTGACGGACAGGGATAATCTGAACCGGGCGCTTGGCAACCTGTCGGCTCCTGGCCTTTTTTTTTTCGGAGGAGGAGGTGGCAACGGGGGGGAGGGGGGGGGGGGGGCACTGACACATGGCAGCCTCAGCGGGCACTTCCAGCTGTTGGCCATGTGCGTGGCTGTCAGGGAGCTCGACACAGTCATTTCACCGCAGATCGTGCTGCCGGGGAAGGCAGGGGGCAAGCCAGCCTCTTGGCTAGCCTCGTCTTCCAGGGCTCGCTCAAGCCTGGAGAAAACCTGTTTGCCGCTTGCAGACAAGCGTAGCGTGCTAACGCAGCCCTAAGTGCTGGCCAGGCCAGGCACGCTGCAAAGAATTATTTTCTTCATGTTAAAACATTCCAACGGGCTGGAACAAACAAAATGAATTTAACAACTCCACATTCATCTCTCCCATAATTTGATTTCTATGTTGTATTTGGCTACGTACCCTCCACGAGGCTTTCCTAACTCAAGCCTGATAAAGCCTAATCCAAAAGCTCCTGGCAGCTCCGTTTCAGAGGGCTGAAAGGAAAAAAAGGGGGCCTATTGTTCAGCAAAAATTAACTGCTGATATTAAGATACACCTATGACTGCAGAAAGGGCATGTAAGAGGATATAACAGCTTTTTTTAGCAGCCTAGAAATGCACAACCACCCAAACTTTCTGGTATTTATTGTGCTTTTTGCATATGCTACCTGCAGTTATAAAAGAGCTATTTAGGGAAAGTTTGAGAGAGCTCAAGGACTGAATATTGGGTTGTTTCTTGTATATCTCCCTCCTGTAGCACAGGTGCCTCATATGATGAATTCAGTGGTACTGGGCTCAGAGGGATCTATAAAATCCTCTAAAAATGTTCAAAGTTAGCTCTTCTGTGCATAAAAATGTCACCACTTTCAAGGCAGTTATTTCTAGCTGTGCTGTGCCCTCTTTCGGAAAATCCCACTCTCTCTCTCCTGCTGCCATGTCTCAGCGGTGCAAAGCTGCTGTTCCTATCCTTGAGGTACCATGGGATATACAGTGTGCGATGAAACCCTCGCACAGAAAGGCAAGGCGCAAGTGAAGCCCTGAACCCCTCGTGCCGAGACGGACGGCGATCTTCTGAGGCAGTTCACACGCGGAAGGAGAACGCGCACCCGAATCAAGACGTGGGGTTTTCTGCTGTTTTAAACAGCAACTCGTGAAGCTGCTAAAAGAGCTGTGCCGAAGCAGCTCTTGGGAATACAGG